GCTTGAAAATTTTCAAACTGATGTTGAATATACGGAATTTATCTAGTGCCAGCCTCGCTCAATGTTCCCATACTTATATATATATATATATATATATATATATATATATATATATATATATATATATATATATATAAATTTAACTTTCTACTCAGCACTCAATTTATTTGATATCATAATTTCCATCCTTTGCTGAATTCAGGTATCACAAGCACCAGAAACAGCGGGATCTTATCATGGAGGAAACTGTATGATGGATTTAATACTAACCAAAGCAATATGAAAAGATACGGTTTGTATACACTAACAGAACTAAACTTTACTATAAATCAAGGTATGTTAGTGATAAATAACATAACAATTCACCAATGATAATATTTGCTATGGATGTATCTTTCAAATATAACTATGTTAGATGAGCACTGAGTTTTATCTAAAAGTTTCTAATGAATAGCTTGAATGACGGGTGACTGATGTTGAGTGATTCATTATATACTACACAATGAAGCAATGTATAAATTGTTAGATAACTTAACATTGTGTATTTTAATAAAAGTATATTTCTGGTAAATCACTGAGTGGTTAAATTTCTAAGTTTTATTCTAAGTTTTTACTTCCCTCAAAGAAACAGCCTAGGTACCAGCATATTCAAAGTATCTTACAGTACCGATACGATCCACTGAAAACGATCATTTTCACTTAGATTTTGTGGTCGATCTTAAATTACCTACCATTTTTACATCATGCAATTAAATAAGTAATTAGGTGAAAAAAAACATATTAAGTCAACTTACCAGTTTTCTTTTTTGGAACCTCTTTAACAGGTTCCTTTGATAATTCTTTCTTCGCTGGTTCAACATCTGCTTTTTCCTGTGAGCTGTCATGTGACAGCCAACTAATCAATGAAGCAGGCTTAGGGGATGCTGATCTAGGTGGGTTTTTATCATCTGGTTTACTCATCTTGTGTATATGTGAATTCAATAAGATGATGTATATGCGTGTGGGTATATTAGACAGGTACAGATTTACATATATTTATTATGGATATGTCAATACAGAAGACTTAAACAAGACATAAAATCCAGTGGGTAATAGGGAATAATAAACTAAGCATGATCTCAGAATAAAACTAATCTTTACTGTATTTTGTCCCCTTTTTATAAAGCTCCCTTAAAGTAGGCTTTATATTGATTTTGACAGTTATTCTTAAAATAAACGAATCTTGAACAGTAGCCCAGTAATTATTTCTTGACTTTGGTCACTATTAGTGGATTGGTTCTAGTGAATTAGACACATATAGGCGGAAGAATGGAGGGTGAGTGCCCAAGTTTAAATGAATGTCGGTAAGTGTGTGCACAACCCAATGCTCATACAATATTTATTGATTGAATGTTCTCCAGCTATTGAAAACCAATATTATTTGGATTATATAGGTTATTCCAAGCCAATTATGCATAAAATTTGAAGGTAATAGAGAGAAAGTATTTACCTTTTAAGTATTTCAATATAATTAAACCAATAGAAAATTTAGCCAATGCCGATTGAGCAACGTCTCGGCTATATAAAAAGCATGGTAGTGACAATGGAGTCATTCTTATTAGGACTTCATATATTTCCTAGACCAAACATGATTAGAGCGCATAATGAATAATAAAGCATTTATCTGTTCTATTGTATAACCACAAAGTGAATCGAAGGCATTAAAGTTTTAAGATGGAGGTGTTGAATGACGTTAAGGCATGTTATACAACTTGTACATCATTTTGATTGAGGTCATGAATCGATTGATGCTAAACCACCATCGGAAACCTGAAAGCAATGGACGGTCGACTCGTCCCGGTGTGGCACTCCTCAGTGGGATCATTGATACGCACTGCTGAGGGGTCCCATAGCGGGACGAAATGGCCGTCCATTGCTTCAAGGTTTCTAATGTTAGTCTAACGTCAATCAATTCATGATCTTAATCGAAAACAAAACAATCTCCACAACTCCATACTAATATTTCATCATTGTTTAATGTATTTAACTTTTATGCACACTGAGTTCATTTTGAATTCAAGCCCTGAATCATTATTTATTTTTGTATGTAGTTTTTTGAAAGTCAATGTATCTTTTGATACACTCCAAGAACCAATAAACTGTAACCTCATTATGTGACATAGTCAATAGATCGCCTTTTACTACAATCTTGTTTAGATTTCACTTATGGATTGCATTTTATCTACATATAACTAGTGACCTATAGAGACGTTATAATTTACATATCACTACATGTGTAAATATCTTTCATTTTATGCATCATGTTATACTTCTCCGCAGATCTGCAAATGTTTTCATAAGTACAGAACTTTGATCCTAACGACAACATTAATTAGTCTCATATTGAAAATTTTGAAAATAATTAATAATACTTAGCATTACAGACTGGTATTAGTTAAACAACCATCAGAAGGCTGGAAACACCGAGACCTGAAGCTTCTAGGTTTGACTCCTGTTTGTGTTATGGAAGATCACTACTGTGTAGTCCCATCCTAGGACGAAATATCATGAGAACTGAGAATGAAATAATACAAACCTCTAAGAACTAAATAATTTGATGAACTCCACTATTGGTTTACAAATCGAGGAGGACAAATATTTCAAACTTTAATTTTTCTATTATCAACCGGCGGCCTGCTTGAATATCTGGGCTACCTGTTCCACCGATTTAGATATTTCATCAAGTTATCTGTTTTGTTGTTTGTTTTAGCACATCACTATGTCTATTGTGCGCACAACCTATTCAGGCGCGTTTATGAAAAGTTTACAACCTTTCGCTATACGGGATACAAAAAGGTACAATCAGAGACATCATGGTTGCTGGCAATATGCATTGAAACAAATGAACAGTAATCAAATGTGGATTACCGAACTTCTAACATCTAACTGGTCATCATTCAAAATTTATCGTCACAATCGATCAAGGTATAAGAAAAGGAAACTTGTTGAAATATTTTATGCTGAGAATTCTATGTTGTACCAAAAATATAATGTTGAATAAAGCTTCTAATAATAGAATAATAGAAAAAATAGAACAAATCGAAAATACTTTTAGTCCATTTGCGTATCAATCAGATCACTGAACTTACTGACAGTGATTGGAAATAAATAAACTAGTGTGTAATGATTTCATCACTCTAAATACTAAGCACTGTTTTATTTTAGTTGACAGTAAGCTCCCCAAATAAATATATTAGCATTTCCTAGAATATCCAATGTTATTTCAAATGCTTCAGAATAGTTGGACTCTCTAAGGTAGATCAAAATGATTGGATTCACAAGCAATTCATAATTTTGTATGGATTAATAACATGATATATTCCTCTTGAATTATAACTTCTGATGAATGCATAAGTCTGTTTGATACTTTGGAAAGTCTTAGGTGTCATAATTCATCTAATTACCGTATGAAAAATTTGACTTGGACTGGTTATACTAATCACGTACTTCTTAACCGTTTTCAATATTTTCGGATGGAGATGCAACTACACATTGTGTGGGTCGTTAAATTTGGAAAAATATCAGACACTATTTATTTCGAACTTTTACTTTCTATAATTTATCATGGAGGTTTACGATTTTAATACTGAAATCGTTTATTCTCACACCACGTCGTTCTTATTTTCTGAGTAGTGAAAAGAGCAAAAATGAGTCCATCAGAATCTGGAGATAGCCAGATGGTTCAGTATACGCGCTCGACAATGTGAAATACATGTATTTTAATGTTTAAATGCTTTGGCTTTGGATGAGTGCCAATGAGTGCCAATCTATGAACAATCTTCATAAATGTAAAAAACCAATCACTCAAACTGATATAAACACTAATTATTTGTATAGATGTTCAGAATAAATGTGCTCATAAATTGTATATATAAAACTATCTATAATATTTTAGACTTTGAAACATGATTACAAATATTACTTTATATGTTCATTAATGATATCATGCGTAAATAAATGAAGAAATTATCAAATCACTATAAAAATATGCCGTATCTGTGTGTGTGTGTGTGTGTGTCAGAGAGAGAGTGAGTGAGTGAGAGAGAGAGAGCGAAAAACAACAATCGAGTCACATTTTATTAAATAAAATTAATCATTCGAAAAATATTGATCAATTGGTTAGTGGATCAAAATTACTGCATATTAAAAAGTTACAAGAAAATTATACCTGTTTGCTATAATATAGATTTATTACTATCGATTACTGTGGTAAAATATAATTCTATTATTCATTATATTAAAAATACAAGTTTCAAAAAATTATTTTATAGACGAATTATTGATTTGCCTTAATTGAAGTTTGGTTACATCATGGACCAACAGTTAATTCCTCCTAACATGAGTTTCTTTAGCAATGAGCACCCGCAACTCTACCAGACCTTCAAGACTCAGTGAGTGTGTTGTTTTAAGATTGCTCACTTGTCAGCCAACCGTTCAAATCTTTAACTTCAGTAAATTTGAGGTGATACAGTATGATGTCCATTCATTGCCATCACCATTGTATTTAGACTCCATTGGCCATAGCTTCTTACTGGAACTTATGAGGTATCTCTCGAAGTTAAGCATTACTGAACATATGACTAGTATTTCAATAGAAGGTATATTCAAAAGTTGATCTATATCGCAAACTGACTGGATCCAAAAATTAAAACTACTAAAAGACAACTCAGTACTCTAAATATATCACTCTTATTAGGAGTTCCTAAAGTTCTGAGTTTGATACCTTGCAGAGTCATCGGTACACACAGAGATGAAGACTTCAATACCAGATCAAGACTCATATCCAGTGCTCCGTGAATTTCAACGTGTATCTAAGTCAGGTTAGTCCGTGTTGTAATAATAACCTAAAAAGTGTAGTTATTATAACTTTATATAAAGAACTAATCCTGTTATACGATTATTTGTTTATAGAAATCGAGAATTATAAACTCCGAAATAAAACAACAAAAAAAGGAACTTACTGGCTAATCCCTTCGTGTTTTGTGGAAGTTCATAGCGTAGTGACAATTCAATTGTTGACTACATGAATTTTCATGGTTTATCGCGAAAGAAAATAATACAAGAATAAAGTTATTGAGTGTGAGAACCAAAAATAGTAAGTCATATCATCATCAACTGAACTAACATGTTTTTTAGTGATTAAGACGACTTCAAAAATCAAAATTAACACCGAAAATAGGTTACAGTTGGACAAATATATTTTATCATGTGATCATTTATTGTACATCAAATTATTAGTTGAGGGGAAGAGAGAGGGTTAGTGAAAATTAGAATATTTGACACAGTGTAGCTTAATCGGTAAAGTTCATTCGACACCAAGGACAAAAAATCATGACAAATATTTATTAATATTTGAATTCATGAGTCCATCTAAGCTAGACTACAGTTGAAAACCTAGAAGCAGTGGGTGGCCATTTCGTCTTAGTATGGGACTCTTCGGCAGCGCGCACCCACAACCCCACCCGCGGGACTCAGACTCAGGACCTTCCGCCTTGCGTGCGAAAGCGTAACATCTAGACATCTGAACCGGCGTCCAACGGTGTTAATCTCTAACTTTAGTCAACGCATGATCTTGCTCAACTACATCCTCCATAAACCCCCATTCTGATACTAATCGTGTGCTCACTAGTGACTAGCTTCAGGATGGATTTCTTGGAGTTCTAGTGAGAAGCCGTGATCAGTGAAGTTCAATACGTGCTGAATGGAGACAGTTATCCACAAGTGGTAATGGATGAAGGATTGCGCAAGATTATAAATCCATTGAATTTAGATATTCACACCGTTCAAAGCCCGTTCATTGGTCTGGAGATTATCCCTTCACGTGCGAAACCGATGATCCTGGGTCCAAGTTCCACGTGTGCGATCGTTGATGAGCACTGCTGAGGAATCCTACAATACGACGAAACGTCCGTCCAGTGCCTCGAGGCTTTCAGTAGTGGTCTACCTTAAATAGACTCATGAATTCAACTATTAAAATTACTACAAGTTCCACAGTCCCCTATTGTGATTCAAATATTTATTAACCAATCATTTCGAATATCCCAGTACTGAAGAAGATCAATTGAAAGCCGAATAGTGTAGTATTAAAACTGCTATTTGTAACACTAAATTAGATTCTGATACTTCAAAATGGATGTTATGCATTATTAATGATTGCCGACTAGTACGGAATCAAAGTGAAATATAAGCTTTCTTAGGTCATCTTCAAGTGTCTAACAGCAATTCGTCGTACACTTATATTAGCCAGTGGATTACTCATAAGTAGGAATTACTGGACAATTTTTCTGCTTTATTTTGTTAATTATTATTATTATCACTTTATTAACAAACGCCAAATGAGATTCAACTACTAGAAAATGATGTAACCGACATGAAAAGAATGTTAGTCTAAATATTTGTGTTAAAGAAAAGCTCTGAAATCTTTATAACTAAACGTACTCGGTTTAAATTTACAAGAGATGGACAATTTTAACACTGATGTACATGTCCAACATTTATTTCTTGATATAATTGACTGACATTCCACAAATCTCAATAATTTAATATGGAGAAACGAAAACAAAAATTCACCCAAAAACAACAACGGAAATTAACAGTATCGAGGATTATAGAATTGACAATTGTTTGGTATTCATCTTAAGATAGATTTCATTAGTAAGTGAAGTCAGCTTAACGGCTGTTTTATCTTGTTTGAAGCTGTTTAGGAGTTTCCTATTAGCATAGACAATCACATACGGATTTTAGACAAGAATGTGTAGTACCGATTTTTAATGATGATTGGTTGTCAAAAGACCAAGTTGTATAATAACAAGAGGACTGAAATGAGATATTCAGCCTATTAATTTACTCACAGAACTGATGCTCGCAAATATATAGCAGTCAATAAAGTATAGTGTCTGGGAGTCTGTTTGAATATTTGATAGGCTCAACTTTTCTTTATGAACAGAATTTTCAACCAAGACCTTTTGGATCCGATGTGACTAATCACAGGCATAAATGAAAGTCGCAAATCAACCAATGATCTCTTACTTTTATTTATCATAGTAAGTTGAAATAAAGTGAATAAATGTGTATAGTTTACATGCAGTGTGAAAATAATAGGCTAATTCTAATGAAAAGTGTTTATCAATCATCACGTTCATTGTCATACACATGGCAACTTTTGAGTATTTAAAAACTAATATTTAACAGTGACAAAAAGAAGACATTTTAAATCGAAGCCAGTGTAACACAATCTACTTAAGGTAGAGCAGCACTAATTACTTTTATGTGGACGGAAATCTTTTGGAAATTATCACATTAAAACAGAAATCAGTAATTTATTTACACAACCTGGTGCGACTGAGTGATCTGGTATAATAACAACAAAAAGATATCAGTGAGCGAAAACAATTTCTTCCTTTATCTTTCAGTTGGGTAAATATCCAAGCATATGATTTGGTCTTCAGTTGTGGAAAATTGCCACTCTCTATAAGTATTCTATCTTTAAGAAACCAAAAGTACATCTTGATAAGTGACTGGATGATTTACATTAATGTTCATTGACCCAATTTGAAACAATGCACATCAGGACAATGATGAGAGGAAATAATAAAATAAAATGTAGATAAGCCCAAAACGCCAATAATTATAATAGAAAGGTAAATTCATTAAAACATGGTACGAAATAACATAGAAGATTGTGAAAATAAAAGTATTTCAGAAAAGCCTCCAGATTTATGAGTAAGTAGAAAATGAATGTATTTGAGTCAATACAACCGATATTGAAACAGGTCACATCACATCTCAGACTGTGGTGTGGAATCTACTCACAAAGTTTGTAATTCGTGACACAACTCAAACGAACAGCCATTGATTTAATCAACTGATTCTTAGTCTTCGGTTTTCTTCAGATCTATGACCGTGTTATCCGGTATAGCTCATTCGATATGTGTAAAAAAATTTCAACCATTTGTTTTGATGAATACCCTACACTTGAATCATCTATTGGTTTCTCGAACGTAACGAACTCTAAGCCTGTGTTAGAATAATGAATCATATCTTTTGAGAAGCACTGCACATTGAACTACATATATCTAATCGATTTCACCAGTGTTTTGTATATTAACACCATAATCTTACTGAGAATAATCAGTGACTTTGCATGATATATATATATAATAATTACTGTAATAAATATCGTTTTTGAATTAAATGTTTTGTCAGGTTCCGTATGTTATCAGCTGATCAGGTAAAAGGACAGTTTAGTGCATATAATTCGATAAATTATCACCAACCCAATATGATGAATAAAAATCTAGTTGTTATTTTTTAAATCAATCTTAACACAAATACTGTCTTGTTGAATGAATTAATCTTAAAATTTATTTGGCTTTATGTTAAATTGTGTAACCAAGAATCGTAAGACAGTTCACTCAGTTAATTGAACGTTTAATAGCTTACCTTAATCACTAAAGATAGCAGTTATAGATATCAATTTAGAAAAGATACATCTAGTTGTGTCTTTAGAAAGTCAATATCGATATTAACGGTATATCCGTGACGCGTATTCAATACTCTAGTAAAGTATAACAAACTTCCTTTTTTATGTTAATTCGAAAAGCTTGCTTCATATCCATCTTCTTGGCGACTCTGTGCCACTTTCACCCGATTTTGCTGGCATCGGTGTAACACTAACCACCCCTGTTAACATTGGTTAACACGCTATTACATTAGAAATCTCAACCAAGGTATGAAATCGGTCAAAAAATGACAGATTTTTTTAACTGTGTTTACGTCCTGACTAATTTCACACCGAATCAAATCAACGATTAATTTTACCGCCACTTAGATGATCTCAAGAAAGAGTGATTGACAAATATCGTAGTGCTAGTCAGAGATCTGGGTGCATGAGTTAAAATTTAAGTAATCAAGTAATCAAATAGCAGTAACTGTCTCCTGCAGCTATCCTCAAATCCAACCTGCTTCTGATTAGCACCGACTTTTGGCACCCTCCTTTATCAATACCAACTCGGACTTGGATTGATCAGGCTCAGGTCAGCTGCATTTGGCGTTGTACATGGAAACAACTCTTTTCGAATTACTGACCTGGAATTTGATCATAACCTGGTTTGCATCAATCTCAACCTACGTTTTTGCGGTCATCAAGCATCTTGTCCTAAATAAAGCGATGTAGATAAATTGATTGTGGCTGCGATCGACCTTAGTTCTAGTCTAGCTATCAGCTTACTGGCTAGTGTAATTGAGTCGCGTTTTCATGACGCCATGAAATCATTTAGTAAAATTGCTTGCAGTCTTGTGAAACCCCTGGCTTATAGGCATTGGTAAAGTAGGCTCCTTACAATTACTCTGACTGATAGCGAGTTTGATGACATACATAGATTATAAAGTCAAGGAATTATCCTTAATTCCGGTAAATACAGAGAAACTTAGTGGTCGGACTGAAAGCAGCATTGATAAAGACAGTCCAGTGCAAGACATTCTGTGAAGATAATGAGATGGAAATCAATATCACATAAAGTTTCGGACGTAGGGTAGAGTTCTTCGAGGACCAAGGCAGCTTTTCTACTGCCCAACCAGCTTCCATCAAAGTATCCTGTCCTTCATGGCCAGTGATGACCAACCAATCTAAAGAGGAGGAATATGTCAGAAAACAGTGATTATTGAAGCGACATTAATCACTAAGCCTAATGGATATCCCCCTGACACATTTCAAGGATGGTGGCAAACTCATGGAAAGAAAACTGATTTGTTTGTTTTAGAAATACGGATATTAAAGGGTGTTCCAACGTCATGGTATAAAGTGACAATCATTCTCATTTTTGAAAAGGTCTACATCATATAAGCAACACTTATCACTGGCTTAAGTCTACTTACGACTGCCCAGACTATTCGCCCCCGTCATGATGCGCCGATCGTTCAAAGCACGCGACTGATTCGCGAGGAACAGCCTAGTTTTTGGCCAAGTTTTGGATGCAATGTTCACATTTCTACGCTTGCTATATTCAATGCACATCAAC